AAAGACGTGAATTCCTTTGATAAAACTGGTCGTTGATTAATTTATTAGTGTTTTCACTGATTAATGAAACGCGGAGTAAGGACAGATCAAGCCGGAATAGCGTCACAATACATAATTAGAGGATGTAAATTTTTTCACTGAGTGCACTTCAATAAAACAAAAACCAGGAGAGCGAATGTAAATTCCATGACCCAGTTTAATCTTCCTGTTTATCATAACAGATGCAATGTTACTGCGAGAGAACTTTTATTCCATAAACTATATTGTCACACCAAGAACCTGACGATGACTGTTTTGGTACTTGCTGTTGTTTATTAAGTGCACGAGTTTCTGTCTTTTGTTGGTTTCCCAATGATTGATGAGAGTATCTGACTAATTTGTAACTAGGGACATGATGATGTAATGCTCTGCAGCGTTTGAAATATTAATTAAAAAACGCAACATCATGACATATTTAGCGATAGAAGCCTATTACCAAGGGTAAAATAAGGTGGTGGAGGGTTATTCAAAATCCTAACACATCATGATAGGGCCGAAAGTTGAAAATTTTTGAGTATTTTATAGGTTTCGGAGGTCATTACCACTTTGTGTAACAAAGAATACCAAGAGAGCGGAACATTCCGAAATTTGCAAACAATACCTCAGCATAGTTAACTAACTGATATTTAAGCAGTAAAAATAGTTGGGGAAACAGAAAGCTCTTCGACTATTCTTCCATCAGGAACAGAGATATACAGAGAAACATGACTGATGCGTCAACTCTCCCACCTGATTTTTACAAAGACTTTGGAATCGAACAAGATTTGTTTCAATCAGCCTTCCAAGATTCTGGCAACGCAATGTTTAGCTTAAGACCTGGTTGGTCATTAGGCTTTACTCATGCGGTGTTGACAACCGGTGATAAACCTAAAACAGTGGCTTCAGTTGGAGGGGAGCCCTTGGAGGCAAGTGCTGCCGGTGAGTTGTGGAAAAAGTGCACCAAAGGGACACCTGTCACTGAAGAGTATTGCTGTGTACATAACTGCACCAACCCCAATTGTAAACCAACGAGTCCTCAAAAGGCAGGAGCCACTGCACATGTCTACGCTTCATTTCAAACGCCACAACATGACATCCGCTTCATGATTCTGCTCCCAACATGCAGTGCTGATAACCATGCAG